TGTGGAAATGACAAACAAACCACATGCTCTTTCCTACGGAGTTTTCATTTATATCCATACCTCTTGAGTCCTGAAACACAGAAATATAAAGATCATGGTTATAAAGTGAAAGTTCAGGTTATATTCTCAAACAAAGAGAGATAGAATTGGTTAGTAATTCCTACATGATATTGTATTTTTAAAATACTTTTTATAAACCAAAATTATATGTTAAAGATGAACTAAAAGTGTTATGCTAATAAACCAGTATTTTGATTTCCTATTGCTGTTACCATGATTTTAGTAGCTTAAAACAATATAAGTGCATTAGATTTTAGTTCTGGAACTTGGAAACCTTACTCTGTTAAAACACATTATTGTCAGGACTTGTTTTATCTGGGGGCTTTAAAGAAGATGTGGCTCCTAGTCTTCGGGTGCAGCATATGCAGTCTGCTGCAACTGGATTAATAGATTCAGAGATAGTATATGCATATTTTATTCATCACACAAAATTTATGACAGAAAGTCTCCCTGACATTAGTGATGAAACTGAAACACCCCCCCCATGAGAGAACTTTTAAGAGAAATAATTTGGGCTTCTAAATGTTCTTTTAAAATATGAAATTAGAAGAGGAAATGGAAACTATGTGATGGAATGTATTTGTGCAGGTGCCAGAGGAAAATGAAACAATAATAAAAAGGTCACCCTGTGCCTGGACATCTAGTTGTGCAAAGGGTATTATTTAGTTCTTTTTTATGGCCTAGATGTTTTACTTGAAGAAATTTTATAGTGATAATATCATGCACATAACTATCATTCTCCTCTAGTCTTTCACAGAATTAGCAAAATAATGACAAATTTTATAGTTCCAATCAAATTTCACAAAGTATATGTCTCCAGATTGAAGACTCACACTGAGAACTTAGCACAGTCAAGTTAAAGATTCACATCAAGCATATTATTGTGAAATTTCAGATAATAGGGCATAAGAGGAAGATCCAAGAAAGAACACTGGGTCTTGTATTAGTTTCTTTGGGTGTCTATAACGGGTACTGTAGAGTGGATGGCTTAAGCAGCGGGATTTTATCTACTCTCACTTTTAGAGCATAGAATTCTGAAATCATAGTATCAGTGGGCTGGTTTCTTTTGAAGTCTCTCTCCATAGCTCATAAATGGCCATTTGCCTCTGTGTAATCACATGACATTTTTTCCTGTGTATATAGTGGACCCTTAACTTTGGAACTCAGTTCGTTTGTGAGGGCTGGTGCCCCTCAAGATGGCCAATTGAAGGCTCAAGCTCCTCTATATAGCATTCCAATTCTCTCTCCTGTATATCAGTGTCCTTAGAGAGATATTGGCCCAGGATTTCTCAATTAACTCCACACAGGAAAGGATGTTGTAATATTCCTTTTAAACTCTTTATGTTAAATTAAATTTAAATTAAATTTAAGGGTTAAATTTGTATCTGAGACCATCTGGAAGCAAAAGTGGCTGGTATTTGGGTTGTAATGCAAGACTTTGTTAGTAAGTTAAAAGTGAAATTACAGTCATAACCCAAGTTGTTCATATGCCAGGCCAGTTGCAATTTGAGGGTCCACTGTACTTGTGTCTAAATTTTCCCTTATATGGATGCCACTCATATTGTATTGAGACCTACCCTAAGGAGCTTATTTTAACTCAATTCAAAGATCTTATTTTCAGAAAAAAAATCATATTTTGAGGTATTGAGTGATCAAGAGTTCAACATACGAATTTTATTTATTTTTGGTTATTTGAGACAGGGTCTTTCTATGTAGTTCGGGCTGGCCTTGAACTCACTGTGTAGCCCAGGCTGGCCTTGAGCTTGCAGCAATCCTTCTGCCTCAACTTCCTGGGTGCTGGGACTACAGGCTCTGCCACCATGCCCAGCTCAGCATATGAATTTTAGAGGAGCAAAACTAAATATATAATAGGGTTCATACAAAGATCAGTCTCATAATGGTACCAGGTTTCTCTGACAGCAGAAGATACTGGAGAAACACCTTTCAAATTATGAGGTTTTTAAACCTAGCCAAATTGTTGATCAAATGAAAAACAGAATAATAAAGACTTCTTCAAATGCGTGAGGACTAAAATTAATATTGCACTTGTGTCCTTGGGAGAATATACTGAAAGATGTGAGAGAAAGAAAAGATAGATAAGAATTTGGGATCCAGGGAAATGGTGAGTCAATATAATGCTATAATGAAAGAAGTTTCAACTTGGTAGAAGTAATACAGATGTTACAATTGGAGCTATGGACTGCTCCCTTCCACTGGCTGCTGGACCACTCCCCTACATTCTCCTGAGCCTGGGCAGCCCCTCAGGGACCCTACTGCTCACTACATTGAGGCAGAACAAAAAGTAGAAACCCTGAAGTGTGCCCTAACAAATTCTAGAATTCCAGAGCAGAACACACGCCCGCTGTGTTGGTTACTTTTCTCTCACTGCTGAGACAAAATACCCAACACCCAAAGTTAGAAGGGAAGGGGTTGATTTGGCTTACAGTTCATAGAGGTTTCCATCCACAGTCAGCCGATTCCAAGGCAGGGATGACAAACAGGTGACAGAGCAGAGATGTTGTGGCACACACAGGGCAGCAAGGTTAACAAGATAGTTCACAGGGTCTCCTGCCCCTTTTATCTTATTCAGACTACTAAGGGTAGGTGTTCTTCACAGCCTTAATCCTAGTGCCCTCACACCTAGCATTGCATCATGAATCAATTCTATCTTCACACACTCTAGATCAAGCCTATGACCACATGAGGCTTTGGGGGGACATCTAGACAAAAACCATTAACACCTACTCTATCTGCCCATATGAGCTGCGATAACCTTTCTTCGTATGGAGTTTACTGAAGGTTCATGCAAATGGGCTTGTCATGGCTTGTGTCTAGATGCCCCCCCCAAAGCCTCATGGGACATAGGTGGGGCTTTTTCAGAGGTGGCTGAATATAGAGTGTGTGATTGATTCAGAATGCGAGCATTAAGTGTGGGTGGTTACTAAATCAGCTGACTGGTTGGTTGGGCACTGTCCTAGTACCAGTAGCCTGGATACAATATAAGCAACCAACCAAAAGAAGCTTGTGCAGTCTCTTGATTTGCTACCTTCTGCCTTCCATGAACTGTTTCTCCTCTGTGATATCTGTCTTCCTTGCCACTGAACTAAAAGTCACCTTCACAGATACACCCCAATAATATTTAATTAAACATCTATTTTTCTGTCCAATCTACATTCTCATGATCTCTTCTGTTATATTAGAAACCTTAAAGTCTAAACATTTTTAAGTGATCTCAGCCCTTTATTCAAAAGCAGTGCCTCAGCAATTTTGTGTCCTCTCTGCTAAATTTTTGCCTGCTTTAAAAGATCAACATCAGGGCTGTGGAGTTAGCTCAGAGGTTCCACCACCTGCCTCACATACAAGCACAAGGACCCACGTTTGATCCCTAGTACTGGGGGAAAAAAAATCAACATCAGCCAGATGTAGTGATGCATGCCTATAATCAGTCCCAGCACTCAGGAGGCCAAGGCAGGAGGATTACTCTGATTTGAGGCCAGCCTGTGCCACACAGAGTTCAAGCCCAGCCTGAAATACATAATAAGACATTGACTCAAAAAATCGAAAGCCCAGACTCCTCGCCAAAGCCCAACCTCAGCATACAAACATTATTTTATCTATTCCATTTGAAAAAATGAAAGCTTCTTGTTATTGCTTTCTCTTTCCTGCTACTATACTATCTCTCTGCCCTTCACAGAAAAATTCCTCTGAACATTAAAAATATTGTCATCGCTAAATCCTCTCTTCCCATTCTTTTGCAGAATTCACTCCAATTAGGTTTTATATCATATTATTTTAAAGAAAGAATTTCTTTTGCCCAAGTTCCATTTTTGGGAGATAGTTTCTTATGAAAATATACTCTGTAAGTTTGGTGAGAAGATACAAATTGTCTTGAAATGTCTTGTAGTGGGTTTAGGTAGCAAAACACCATGAGGGCCAGAGTCAAACAGGCTTCCTGTTCAGTGTAACACACTGGGGACCCTAAGCTAGGGGTTTCTCTATTCTAACTTCTCATAAATGATCTACTGCTTTATACTCATCACCTAGATCTCCCTAAGCTGACTGTTGGAACAGGAGCTTGGAAGTGAATGCTAACACTCTGTATATACAAGATTCATTTCTTAATTAAGTCTCTGTTCAAACCTAAAATTCTGAGATGCTTACTAGGAACATCCACTCTTTTGAAGATACTGTCACTGCATTGTTTTCCTTATTATCTTGTTCAGTTTTCCCACCTAGCACATTTTCTATATTATATCGTTTACTTATTTTTATTTACCATGTTTATTTAACATTATGTATTTCCTCACATTAATTTTTTGTTTTGTTCATTGATAACTATATTGTTAGTATTTTTAATACCATCTGGTATATTTATTGATGATCAATAAATATTTGTTTAAAAATGAGTCAATTCATCTTTTATTCTTTCCCAACTTCTACTACCATCTTTTTCTAATTCTGGTGTAGTATGCCAGTGGAAAAGTATGAAGTTCCTTTTGTGATGTGTCACGAGCATGAAAAATTTGGAAAAAATGATGAACACAGCCCTACCTTGATACTTGAATGTCTCAAAACTCATGAAATTTGTACTCAACACGTTCTGGCATGAAGATTTTGTTCCAGCGCTAGTCACTTGATTGGTCCTCAATATGCAAGCTAGAATTTGTGGGTGTTGTTTGCCTTGTGACTTACTGCCTGTCTTAGTTTCTTTGACATTGCTGAGACAAAATGCCTGACACCCACAAGTCAAAGGAGGAAAAGCTTGTTTTGGCTCATAGTCCGCAGCAGCTTTCCATCCACAATGAGCCTCCAAGGTAGGGCAGCAGAGCAGTGGAGGGAACAGTCCATGGCAGGGAAGGTAGGGAAGAAACGTTAAGCCTACCTGCCTTCTCTGCACTTACGTTCCATCCAGGCTACAAGTCTCAGTTGGTGCCACTCACAGCCAGGGTGGCGCTTCCCTCTTCAATAATTCCATCACTCGTCATTGCGCTAAACCGGTCAGTAGACTAATCTAGTTGTCACAGGCATAATCCAGTGTCACATACCCATGACCTAGCTGCCTCCCCAAAGCCTCAGCTCTGAGCATATGAAGCTTTGGAGGGACATCTGGAGATAGAGCCATAACATTACCATTTCTGGGGAAAACAACTGGTTTGGTCCTTACTGTTTTGGTACTGGTTCTGCCTCCGGAACCAATTAACAACAAATACCAAGGTACCACTCTATGAGGTTAGTGTTAAGGTTGGATGAGGGAAAGGTTACTAATTTGAAATTACTCTCCCAGAACACTAGATTTAGTACTCTGGCAAGGGACCTAGAGGTAGTGTAAATTCACTGGTAGGATAGCAAACAGAAGCACAGTCTAAACAATGAAATGAAATTGAACGTGGATATTTCTTTGTCAGCAATCACAACACCCATTTAAAGGAGAGAGAGTGAGTATGCTAGAGTAGATGTGCTATATAAGGCTAGAAAATGTACCAGATAATTATATTCCATGGCAGGCCCCACAGCTTGTACCATTTGTCAGGGCTATCTACAAAATGTGAGAGAGGCACCCAAAATGCCAATAGTAATGGTAGTGCTTCTCTCCTCCGAGGGACAGGACTGCCAATGTCAGTTTCCTAGCAGAAACGGAGACGATAGGATTCTGAAACAATAGAAGCTACTCGAAAGGTTTAACTGCCAGTAGTCAGGAAAATTCAGTTTTCTCTTCGAATGGCAAAGTTATTACTCAATTTGTAATAGCAAATAAATCAAAGTAGACGATAGTGAGTCTGAGGATAATTTCTACAATTTCCATACCTTGGCCAGTTTTGAAGCTGTATCCCATCGTCTAATGTTTCATGTCAGAAAGAACAACCCTGTGAGACTGTGCTAAGTAAGCATGTTAAAAACTGGGTCTTGCCCCACAGGGACCTTTCTTGTGTACAGTTGTCCAGTAGTGGAAGAGGAATGAACACATATTTCAAGGGCTACTAGGCAAAGAATCTTAATTGTCACTAACTCCAGGGGACCCAAAATATGTTCAAGGGACCCTGACCAAGTTGGGCTTATATGCGACAGGTAATTCGTAAAGTTCTGGTCAAGGTCCAGGGACAGTCTATTCACTAAAAGTGTTAGAAGAGAAGTAATTAGTAGTTGCCAAAACACGCCCATTTTATTTTTGTAATGTAAAATAGGTTATTTCAGTAAGATCAACTAGAATCTTAGAAAGTCTCTCTCTCCATTCTAGCCAGGCAGAATTCAAAGCAAAATTTTAAAAGGGAAGCTGATGCTATCCTAAAGGATGTAGGGGTGACAGTTTCTGTCATTTAACAGTAGTAATTTCTCCAATTCATTGACCACTTTGATCATGCAAAAACCAAAAGGATCCAAGAAAATGATTCCTACAAACTCAGTAAAATACAATAGAACCCCCAGTTGTATCTGCTGTGAAGTGTATGCTATGTCTCTGTTAGAAGAGGTCAGTATGGCCTCAGGTACATGATACACAGCTGTTGATTTGGTGAATGAGTACTTTTCCACTCCTATCAAAACAGGAGAACAGAAGCCTTTTGCAGATGTGCAGAAAGGACAATGGATTTGATCAACAGCACAAGCTGTCCAACACCAAATGGCTAAACCTTTTTGTGAAGTTAATATATCTTCCTTGGTAGGCACTCTCAGGTGGTGATTAGCGTATGATAAAGTATTTACACCTTGTTCCCAATCTCTTACGCTTGACCACATACTTTTAATCCAGACCTGTTGCTGTTCAGCGTCAAAGCTCAACTTCTTTCCATGTTCACTTCTGCTTCTTATTGTCACTCCCAAAGGCACCAATTAATAACCATCCTGTAGGCTCCACTCCATTTCCTGTCCTCTAGTAGCAGTGCTGCTGCTTTATTTCTCTTCTGCCTCGGGGTGTTGTTGGCTTCCTATGGTTCTTATATAGAATTATTCTCCTTCCCGAGAATGCTAAACCATAATAGACATCTTTAAGCATCCTTGAGCTAAATCCCTGGCCTCTGATGATTTCAAAAATGATAAGCTGTATGTAGATTCCATAGTCATTTGGATAAGCTCGTATTTTCTTAGTCATGCATGCATGAAAATAGTAGTACATATAACATATTTTTTGAATGCAAAGTCATGTTATTTATTTCGAATATGTTATCAATATGAATTTGAGAGCTACTTGAATTAATTCTTTAGTCTAGTAGAGATTTATTTCCTGTATTCTGAAAACCACAGATTAGAGATGGTGCATTGTTACACAGATATCTTATATCTAAAGTACCTAATTTTATTTCCTTTCATATAAAACATTAATCCACGCCACTCACACAGTTTAGACAATAGACTCCATATGGCATCCACATAGTATGAAGGAACACAGATTCGAATATCAACAACTATGAAAACAACTGCAAGTCCCCTTGAACCAACACAGCCTGGTAGGGATTGTGAAGACAATCACAGCAGCAGAGAGTGAGCAGCTGGTGGACAGCAGGTCGGGATGGTGGGGTTATTCTTGAACAAAGATTTAAAGCCTGTTATGAGTCTAAGAGCAGAGTGTGTAAATAATATCATGTTGTGCAAATAGCAGCTGGACTTGTAAATCAAAAGGCAAATTTTATGTATACAAACCACCAAGGTTAAAGCATATTTATTGAACTTTTCAGTTAAAATCACCAGTACAATCCTTCAACCCGAAGAAGGTCCATATTTAGATATTTTTATATCTTGATTTCCAAACTGAACCGAAAGTGGAAAATAGAATTTGCTAATTGATTGAAAAATAAATATATTTTATACACTAGATGGACAACTACTGTATGTTTTATTTGTTGAGCTCATTATTTGCATTCAGTTATGAAGCCAACCTTTTGGTGTGTCATAGCTGGCCTGTAGGCAAAAAGACTAGGCCTAAAAATAATTTAATTGTGAAATAATTTTCCCCAAAATCATGTAGAATGGATCCTGACACTTATTCATATTCCTGATTGAGAGGATGAGGCCATTTTAGTTATAACTAGTACCATGTAAAATACTGGTGAAACAAAATGCAACAGCTAAGCAACAAACAAACACACCTTTCAAGCTACAGTCCAAGAACAAGGTGCCAGCTGACTCATCACCCACTTACTGGCTTTTAGATGACATCCTTCTTACAGTATGCTTGCATGGGAGATAGAAGGAGGGCTCTGATTTCTTTTTCTTATGAGGATTTTAACACCATCAAGACAGTTCCATCCTCAGAACCACATCTAAAACTAGTCACTCCCCCAGAGCCCTACCTCCAATACCATCGTATTGGGCACTAGACTATCAACACAGGAATTTGGGAGGATGTGATTATTAATTGATTGTGTCAATTTGAGGCAGAAACCCTCAACTAGATTGGCTCAGCACAATTCTGGGTGTGGAAGACCAACTCTCAGGAGGATTGTCACCAGAATGGAATAAAAGGGAAACAAGAACAAAAGATTTGTTTGTATTTCTTTGGAGAAGCTCCAGTCTTTGCCTTCGCCTTGGATGTCATCTTCTGGCTGCCAGCACAGACCCTTCAACCTTCCATCCCAGACTCTTTGGTCTGCTGATATGGACTCATTCACACAGGACATTACTGACCAGCCCTTCGATTGGACCCTTGGGATCTCCAACACAGACAGATCTTTTGCACTCTTCCATACCTGACCCCATGGGCAGCCATTGTAAGCCAATCTTATAAATTAAATGGTGAAATTAAATTGTGCTTATAATAGTCTTGTAAATTAAATAATGGAGAAAATTTAGGTGACTTGGGAATAGGGAAGTTCAATCAGGATAAAATATAGAGTCAAATAAATGTAGAATTTTATACTTTAAATTTCTTCTCAGAGCCAGAAATTTTATACTTTAAATTGCTTCTCAAGTGGTGCATGCCTATAATTCCAACACTCTGGGAAGCTGAGGCAGGAGGATCACAATTTAGTGAGACCCTGTCTCAAAATTTAAAAAAATTTGAAGAAAGCTATTTCAATGTCAAGGCCCAATGTTCAGTATCTCATACTGGGGTAAAAAAGGAAAGAAAAAAAGAAAAACTCTCCTTTCCATCTCAGACATGCATCAATTTAGAGATAATGAACATAATGCTCAGAAAATTTTATTTATTTATTTGTTTATTTAGAAAAATTTATTCTTTTTTTTTCAGCTTTAATTGAGTTTATTGGTACATTTTAGGGATTTAGAGTCCATGCTGTGTAGAGTTAGGAGCAGAGTTTAGGTCTCCTGAATTCCAGAGAATTCAGCAATGGCACACTTCTGTTACTCTTAGTGAGGAATATCTTTAGCAGCATACTGACTAGTCTAGTGATGAAAACAATGAACTAAGACTAGATAATAAGTTGGGTGTAATTTTCTTTCAAACTGTAAGCCAATCATGCCAAAAGTTTCATCCTTCAATACATCTAACATGGAAGAGTGAATTTAGAAAAAATAAAATAATGCATATGTTTTGTAGTCAAATGCAGGGAGATAGAACTGACCAAAACAGGTGGTTTAACTTGTGAAGAAAGTTGTACTGATCCTGGAAGAACATTAGGTAGCTTGGCACACTACATGCTGAAAGAATGATTGAGAAGCTAGAAAAAGAGCTAATGTTTTCTTGTACAATAATTTAAATAAAAGCTCATCTCAGTAAACAGATGTAAAACTACCAGGAGGAAGCAGACTTCTAAATAACATAATGGGATGAATTAATTATTCCTTGGTCAACTCATCAAAGAACTGAGACAGAGTCTGGCCAGTGTGAGTGACTGTGATTACCAAAACAGATGCTGTAGAAGCCATTGATTAAGGCAAAAAATATTGCAATCAGGACTTCAAACTTTAATGTTGATATTCACATATTATAAAGGGAAAACAAACAGTGAGGCAAATCAGTTGGTTTTAAAGATACTCTGAAGTCACATGTGATATTTTTGGAAAAGAAAACAAGAACATGATATATTTAAAGTCA